ACTCGAGTTATGTCCTATAAGCACACAATAAACAGATCATACATCTGTTTCTATTAGATTATAGTTATGGATTCGAATCCCAACGCACGTTCTGCAGATGCGCCTTCGTAGCTCGCCACCTTATTACCTTGTTTCTCGCAATTTAGTTGTCGTGATTTCTTTCTGCTAGATCCGCTGTGTCGTGGGTTTTGGTCGCTGAGGTCTCCACATCGTCCATGCCTCTTGACGTCCCCCCCAACGTGTTGTAGATATTTTTCTCATGTACGGATCCCTGCCTAGAGATCGCCGACAATCCTAACATACCGACTTTTCCGAGCGCGCTCGGTACACTAATGTGTTACTCTTTTTCGTCTACGCTCCCTCTCTCTCCTGTCTCTGCTCTCTCTCTGCACTTTCTCCTCCATATCGTCTCTCTCTCGCTCTCTCTCTTTGTTCTCTCTCTCTCGCTTCCCCTGCGCGCTTCGCCGCTCTCTCTCTCTCTTCTCTCTCTCCTCTCATCTCTCTCGTTCTCTCTCTCTGGTCTCTACATCGCTCTCTCTCTCTTCTCTGCTCTCTCTGCTATCACATCTCTGCGTCTCTCTCTCTCTCTTCTCATCTCTCTCTCTCTCTCTTCTCCTCTTCTCCTCTCTCTCTCTCTCTATTCTTATCTCTCTCTCGTCATTTCCTCTTCTGCGTTCTCTCTCATCTCTCTCTCTTATCTTCTCTCTCCTCCTCTCTCTCATGCTCTTTCCTCTTATCTTCTCTTTCCTCGTCTCTCTCTCTCTCTCTCTCTCTGTTCTCCTCCCTCATCTCTCTCTCTCTCTCTCGTCTCCTCTCTTCTCGGCTACGTCTATTATCGGCTATATATATTATATATTGCTCCTATATATTATGTATATCTACTATATCCCCTCGTCTCGTCTCGTCTTCGCTGCTCATTTCTGTCTGCGTCGTAGTCTCTCTCTCTCTCTCTCGTCTCTTCTCTCTCTTCTCTCTCTCTCTCTCTCTCATCTCTCTCTCATGCTATCTCTCTCCTCTCTCTCTCTCTCATCTCTCTACATTCTACTCTTCTCTTCTATCCTCTCTCTCTCTCTCTCTCTCTCCTCTCTCTCCCCGCTTCTCTCTCTTCTCTCCTCTCTCTCTCTCTCCTCTGTTCTCTCTCTCTCTCCTCATCTCGATATTTAAGTCCGCTACACAACGCAGCGCAGTTTTTCCCGCTGCCTAAAACGCTTGCTCGCTCTCTCGCTCCTCCGGCAATTGACGCCTTACACTATAATCACTATTATCGGCCTTGCCAGCCTCTGTTCAGCTTGCCAGCCTTGCCAGCACTGCCAGCGTCCTTGCCGAGCCTTGCCAGCCTATGTCCAGGCCTTGCTGCTTGCTTGCTTGTTGCATTGTTGCCTTTGCTGCCTTGGCTAGCCACGCGTTGCGGTGAGATGTTAGGCTGCCACCAATCATCGAGTGCGAGTTGTCAGCGGCGGCCTACACACACCTTCACTCTCAATATTCACCACACGCCGTTCTCTCTCGCTCTCTTTCTCTCTTCTCGTCTCTCTCTCTCTCTCTTCTCTCCTCTCTCATCTCTCTCTCTCTCTCTCGTTCTGTGTCTTCTCTGTGTCTCTTCTGTCTTCTCCCTCGCCCTCTCTTGCTCCCTCTCTCCCTCTTTCTCTCTCTCTGCTCTTTCTCTCTGTCTGCATCTCTCTCTCTCCGTCTGCTCTGCGGAGAGCTGTGTGACACCCTCTGGATGGCTGTATGTACGTCTACACAGTTGTCAACAATGGACCTCAGCTGACACTTGCCAGCCTGCCGCCGTGGTCTCCTTTCTTCTACCCGTAGGCCCCAACGATAGAGAGCTTACGTATGGATCTTTAGTTCCCCACGTCCGTCTTCCTTCAGAATCCACGTATACTAGCTGTATATAGAATATGATCGCGTCACGCCGCCATTGACCGCTGCTGTTGTATGCGCCTCGTTGCTGATGGCGTACACGTCGCAGACGACGCGGCGGGCACGGCTGTTTGGATCGTCTGACCGGATACTCAGTGAACTGTCTGGCGTCTGCGCTCGTGTTTACGCCACAGTCTGATCGGTTGAGTGACGTTTTCATTTCCCTCATCGCTGTGACTCCGCACATCGCCAGTTAGGAGCATACCGCATGCTAGTCACACGGGGATTCGGACCTGGAGTGGAGGAGAAAACAATGTTGAGTTAGGTTTCCGGGATAAGTTTCTCCGGAGTTAGGGTTTGGATTGGCGTTGAGTTGGCGGGTTAGGGTTAGGATTAAGGTAGACTCAGCGAGGCGGCGGCGGGCTTAGTTTATGCGACGTTACACTTAGAGACCATAGAGTTGAACCAGTCGTCTGGAAGAGGAACACTCACGCTTTTCCTTGGTTTACTGTGGCTAGGTTGATCCGCATAGATTGGTTTAAGCTTACGTAAGTTTTACACGTATACGCCAGATTTTTGCGCCTTCGTTTACTAATGCAGTGTTTTATAATGCTTCTGATCTCAGTGCTGAATTGCGCGACTAGTGGCTGCGTGCACCATTATCCAGCAATGATTATTCCAATTAGTTTACGTTGCTTTAATTGGTTGGCTCTCTCGTTATATACCTTCACTTTTTATCCCCTGGTGAGGCAGTATATTGCATTACATTGATATAATATAATCCGTATTTTATCTTGGATTGCTTTCGCATCTATTTGATTATATGTATTTATTTCTATATTTGCTATTTCACTCCTCTCTCATGTTCATTCTGGTGCTGTATGCATGCTCTGTATTGTCGAGGCGTGCAGTCAGTAATATCGACCTTATGATAGATTTATTTTCCATACAAATAGGATATAAGTGTGAGAGAAAGGTTTGTTCCTGTAAGACAGTCCCTGGCATAATTTCTCCATATGGGACCAACACTTTACGTGCATGGCAAAGTTGCGTAACAAAACAAATGTTTTGTTATTTTTCAAAAACTGCTATAAGCTCTTTTTGCGTATATAAAAGTTCTGTATTTCCCAACGGCTGCCAATGAAAGATTTATGTTCTCTGTATCATGTTATGTGATGTATTTTTCAAGATACGTGTACAGTTCTCGTTAAATTTGTCCGTTCAGCTTGTGTTCCCCGTACTGTTCCTTCGCCCCTCTCTCTGCTAAGCCCTCAAGTTAGGAAAATACATTTGTTCTTCTGCAAGGGCGCGGCACGAGCCGCTTACAGTTGTCCATGAGCTGGCGGTCCGTGCGTGCGTGTTTACACCCCGCCCGTACCGCTGGTTTCCCCTCTCTCACAGCAGCATTACCGACACTGGCCGCCACTGACGGGAAATTATGTGATAAAATTTCGTGCCCGTTAAGCTCAGAATTGTCGAGAATGCTTTCTTTAGGGGTTGTGAACATTGACAGTGATAATATTCTACTGCTGTTTAGTTTTATTACGTATTATTACTGTTATATTGTTATTTGTATATTTATATTGTATATTTTATGTTATATTTATATTCTAATCTTTTTATTTTATATTAGTATTTTATATTTTATTTTTATTTTTGTGATTTTTTATTTTATCTAATATTTTACTATGTCTGTATCATTAGATTTACATTTACACACAAACACGACACACACATCACACACACACAGTAAGTAATATATTACGTATTATAATTTATATACTATAATCTCGGTTTACTTAATATATATTAGATAAGATAGATAGAGGAAGAGAGAGAGAGATGAGAGAGAGCAGAGGAGTATGAGATTGGGAGATGAGATCGCGAGAGAGATTGATAGATTTATTTATTTAATTATTTATATATTTATACATTGAGTATAATACCTGTGGGAGAGTGCTGCTGCATTCCGTTGCCCATGCCAGGCGTCATGCAGTGTGGCGGAGTCATGTTAGGAGACATGCTAGATAGGCTCGTCAGAACACCTGTACGAACACAAGAACATCGCAACATCAGAACAATACAGCACTAGAATACAAGAACAACAGAACATCAGAACATCAGAACATCAAAATATAAGAGCATCAGAATAAGCGCCAGCCGGGCATTATAAAAAGAGAACGTCTGAATGATCTTCCAATTATAACAAGAGAACATGAGCTATGCAGATGGTGGTCTGTATTCGTATTACTACATCAATAGTACATAATTCTTTATATAAATTAATTATTATCTATTATAAATGCACAAACTTATTATAATTCTTATATAAACACTTATATAATCCTTTTAATTTTTTATATGCTCTTGATTATATCTTATCATCACGAGTAAGTGACGGGTAATATAGTAACGAATCAATATAATGATATAATGACATATTAACAATAAATATATTGCGATAAATAATTAAATATTTACTCCTGTTATTATCTTACTATTGGAAATACGTTGCGAAACAGAGAGATAACTACCATTAGCATCGTAGCAAACTTCACACAAACAGTTAGAAGACGTTAGAGAGCGTTAGTTGTGTTAGGAGAAAAACTAGCAGTTAGGAGAATAACTAGCAGTTAGAGAAATGACTAGCAGTTAGAGGAATGACTAGCAGTTAGGAGAATAACTAGCAGTTAGGGGAATGACTAGCAGTTAGGAGAATAACTAGAAGTTAGGGGAATGACTAGCAGTTCGGGGAATAACTAGCAGTTCGGGGAATGACTAGCAGTTCGGGGAATAACTAGCAGTTAGGGGAATGACTAACAGTTAGGGGAATGACTAGCAGTTAGGGGAATGACTAGCAGTTCGGGGAATGACTAGCAGTTAGGGGAATGACTAGCAGTTAGGGGAATGACTAGCAGTTAGGGGAATGACTAACAGTTAGGGGAATGACTAGCAGTTAAGGGAATGACTAGCAGTTAGGGGAAAGACTAGCAGTTCGGGGAATGACTAGCAGTTAAGAGAATAACTAGCAGTTAGGAGAATGACTAGCAGTTAGGGGAATGACTAACAGCTACTCGTAACAATTGTCACAACTCACGACGTTATAAATGACTGTAAAAAAATTAACGTAATCTCAACAACCTCCAAAAAACACCCCCCCCCCACTCTTCTGCACGAGCCGTAAAAAACAAACACACCGTCGATGACGAAAAACAATCGACATGCGAGCGGGTGTAAAAAAAACGCTGAGTTAACGTTAAAAACCGCAATGCCGACGGCTGAAAAAACTACGACGCTTACGGCAACGTGCAAAAAACGCGCCGCGGGAACAAGCACAGAACGCCGAGGCAAGAAAACGATAAAGCCGCACGAAAAAAACCGCTCCGCTAAAAAAATATACACCGCTACGTCGGCGGAACTTCACAAAACACGCGGCAATTTAGAGCGCTAACGCACACAGGTAATATAACACACAGACAGGTAACACACACACACACACACACTCTCTCTCTCTCTCTCTCTCTCTCTCTCTCTCTCTCTCTC